AGGCTAGCACTGGAGCGGTAGAGGAGATAGGAGAAAAGAGCAGTAATGGTATAATGGAGCTATGGGTAGCAGCCATTGAGATAAAAAAAATAATTCAAGAGGGTAAACGCTAAAAGGTTTTTTTAGTCAAACATCAACCGGCATGGGAAAAAAAAAGGTTTTGGAATGGCCCCCCCCCCCCCCCCCCCACCAAAAAAAAGCTCCTGAATAACACTAATTAAGCTCACGCATGATGTCTATTTATACCATGCGGCTCAAAAGAAGTGAATGTGCTTGGCGACATAAACGACGTATTCGTTTTTCAGCACTTTTTTTGTGACCTCCGCTGTTCAAGCATAACGCCACCGAAGTTGGTTTGGATAGCAATATGTAAATAAATTTTGACTTGAAGTTCTATTAACTGTATACAGCCTTCCCAGTATAAAGACTATAAACAACATCCTGTTTGGACAAAACGGGGCATATCAACGGATGGTTGTAAAAAGAACGAGCTCATAGTAATGAGTGTCTATTTGGGGATTGTGTTTTTTCAACTATAATCTTACCACGTCATTTAGAACTAAGTCCTCACCAAGAAAATACTCCGATGTACCCGCTGGGCCACGGCCCATGGATGGCTTAAACATAATCGGGAACAAAAAGCTGATGACATGCCATGATGCCTAGATAAAGCGAATCCTGTGTTTTAGTTGGCTACCTGAGCGGGAAAGATATAATGGGCCCATTTTGCCCGCTCTGGATTTCCCGCTTCGGTCCCACAAGATAAAGTTCTCCATTTGGCGATGAAAGAAGTCCTTTATTGACCAAGCTTGTTCGGGCAAGATAGCTGGATATTGGCGTCGTTCTTTTTTTGTCATGACCTCGAATTCGTCTCGGTCTACAAAATGCAAAAGCATAATTTTACCATATATCCAGCCATATTGGAGGGTCTCTATGGGGAGGTGCCTTTTACGATTATCGGCTAAAGTTTTGGCCCTTTTACGGCTATCGGTTAATTTTTTTCAGTTATAGTTAACAAAAAAGTTAAAAATTAATTTCCTTTGTTTTAAAGAGTTTAAAATTAATAAGTGTGTATTTTTTTCAAATCTTTAAAGAAAAATAAAGGTCTTAGGATCATCTCGGAATGAAATAAATTATTCTAACTTTTGATAAATTTTAGTATTTGATAGATCATACTATAATCTTATCACGTCATTTAGATCGAAATCCTCACCAAGAAAATACTCCAATGTACCTGCTGTGCCACGGCCTATGGATGGCTTAAACATCAGGAATCGAACAAAGAGCTGATGACATGCCATGATGGTTAGATAAAGCGAATCTTGTGTTTTAATTAGCTACCTGAGCGGGAATCCTTTGAGGCAATTTTTTAAAAAGCTTTATAACTTTGACAATTTTACATGTAGAAGACTGTCAGACCACAACAAGAAAACATTTGCCATAAAATATGTTCACATGTCACACACATCTAAGGTAATGACGTGATCAGTCACGTGAATATTTCCGAATTAGTTTTTTTTGTTGCTGTGACAAAATTTCAATGACGCGTCAAACACAAATAGCATATTGTGTGGAGCATTTCAAAATAACCAGTTGACGTCCGGGAGACTAGGCCGAGGGCTGTAGAGAGTCAACTTTTTATCATAAGGCAGAGAAAATTTGCGGGAAAGTAATGTTCTACCTGATAATTTTTTTCATGACCAAAACAGGGACGTGACGTCATCAATCACGTGATCAAAGCCTTTTGAATGTTTTAGTTCGTTTTTAAAGTACCTTTTTTGTCATAAATTGTGGCGATCTTAAAGGATACATACAGTTATTTCGACAAAGGTTGTTGAATAAAGTGCACCCACAATCGCGAAAGGTATTGTGGGTGGTTTTGAGTTCACTGTTCTTCAAAGAAATTTGAGAGAATGGCACGAGAGGCCATGGACATATGTTTGCGAGTGCTAAAGGAAAGCAACAAAAGTAGGTTCGACAGGTACAGTGTTAGCAAAGGTATGATTATTTAAAAGACCAAAATTCAGCAGGAAGTTTCTTCAAAGAGCTGATGTTTTGCACACCGTGTGCTTTCCTGCATGCCTTCTTGAGATTTGTGCAAAACGGTGTGGAAGGCCAATGCAGAAATTTTTTTCCTGGTCTACTCTGCATGCATAATTTTTTTTTTCACTTAATTTTCCCTTGCATCATTTTTTTTTGGTATTTTCCCCCCCCCACCCCCCATAACTTTTCTAATGGTCCGTCCCTTAGTCTCTCTCTCTCACAACGTTGCGTGACAAAGCGAGAGGGGCCAGAACTGGACTACATTTGATTCAAAATGTTGCATTGCACGAATATAATGCATTAATTATAGAAACCTTATCCATATTGGATAACAAATTTTTCTAGAGACTGGGAATATTTACAGCCAACGGAGTTAAATTCGGCACCATCATATCCGACGTCTGAATCAACTGCCGTATTTAATTTAGACTACGAGTAGTCCTCCCATTTTTCCTCAGGGATAGTAGAGCGTGCGAAACGCGAGCGCGCGTGAAAATCACCCCACGCGAGAAAAGGCGACACGCGGCGGGGAGAGAGAAAAATGAGGGACTACAGACAAAGCCTAAGCTTTTGAACTAATGCGTTGCTCTCACAACGCAAAACTCTGATTGGCTCTTCCATGGAAATCTGTCAACATCTGTCAAAAACGCGCTAGCCGCTATCAACACTTGACATAATCACAATTTGCGGAACAAACAACTAGAGCAGAACAAATAACAGCACAGAACAAATAACTAGAGTTGCTCTTGTAGCAGCAACTAAGAAGAAAG